AAGCAATCAAAGTTACAATATGGTGTATATAAATATGAATACTGCTTATATAGATTGATATATATGAAAGGAAATGAAATGAATATATTAAAGGACAATATGAAAATGGAGAAGGTATATGCATGTAAATATAGAAATTCACCTCTCATGATACTGGTTGGTGACACAATGTACCCCTATGCATGTAAATAGAAAAGGAAATGAAGATAAAAATAAAAATAAAAAGGGATGTTTTTAATTGGTATAATTTAGACAGTGCTCCGGTAATAAATGAACTGTTAAAATAGTACAATTTAAAAGAAATAAATTTTGAAAAAAAATTTATAAATCAAGAATAGGAATGCATTGGGTTTGTTGTGTTGATAGAAAAATACCCCTCAAACTTCAGAGAAAAATCTATATGATGGTGGTGAGACTTGTAATGCTTTATGGCACAGGTTATTAGCCATTAAAAGAGAAGCATAAAATTAAGTTTAGTGTTGCAGAGATGATGAAGCTCAGGTGAATGAGCGGCTTTACTCTTAGAGATAGAATGTGAAACAGGTATATACATGAAAAGTTTGGAGTAGCTCTTGTGGCAGATAAGATTATAGAGAGTCACCTTAGATGATTTGATCACATAAAATGTCAGCCTTCCGATAACCTAATTAGGAGAGTAAATGTATTAGATTCAGCCTATGTTAAAAGAGGTAGAAGTAGACCTACAAAGACTTGATCGGAAAGTATTAGAAATAACCTTTTTAATTAGATTTGAATGAGATTTTGACTCATAACATGACACAATGAAGGAAAAGGATACATGTTGTCGACCCCATATAGTGAAAAAAAGGTCTAAAGTTGTTGTTGTTCTTGTTTTATCAAACGAGAAATTACTGAAAGAACTGTGATATATATCTAACTGTCTATTCCCACATTAATTTGAGCTTTCAAGCAGGGTCATAACACGACTAGCCTTAACTAAAAGTTATCTCATTATCAAGAAGAGTAATTAACCATAGGGGCATGCACCCATAGGAAATCATACCTCATATCATAAAGTCCTCGTGAAATGAGGGTAAAATCTCTTCGTAATGCCTTATCTAAAATTCAATATATTTTCTAAAAATTTATCCCATAACCTAATCTCCTTAAAACTCTCTCTATCATTAAAAAGGTGCAGAGAGGCTGGTACGTAAATTTTTAGAGCCCACAGTCAACTTAGTCAGCAGCGATAATCGACCCAACTTGATCGAAAGATCCTTGTTGGCAGTCATGAATTATTTCGTCCAAGAGAACTTTATAGATATGGGGTGAATATTTGTTTAAAGAGACAAATTTAAGTCAACCTTGGCTAACAAAAAGTTTTGTGCTCTATCAAATACGCCCTAAGATTCATTACTCAGGATTTATAGCCATTGAGGAACTTATGGGTTTTAACTGTGATCGTAATTCAATGGTGTCATTTTGTGGCAAAACCATTCAATCAAAGAACTTTGGTAATAATTATTTACATGTGATGTCATTTTGGTGGCAAAATCACCGATTAAAAGACATATATCATATCCTTATTGATAAGAGAATATTTGAGAATCGAAAGGAACAATATGCTCGACAAGACATTTGTTCTTTATAAACTAAAATTGTCCTTAAGTTTATCACCCTCAATAAGTGGTTATGGAAAGTGGATAAATTTTTGCTTTAAGATTTAGGTGGAATGAATTTTACTTGAAATAGTTGATTTTTTTTTAGTTTTCCTGATATTCTCACATTTTGCTTGAATTTAAGCCCAAAATGATTTGTACAAAGATTTGAAGGCATTTATGAAAATAGGGTCCCCTTCAATTGAGATTTACTATCAACACAATTATCATTAGGGTATTTCAATATTTTTTTTTTAGTATTTGAAGTTTTAAGCCTTATCAACTTTGTTAACTTGTTAACGGAGGACCGGGTTCGACTGTTAGCTTTATGAGCGTCATAAAACAAACATAACATTCTTGGACCATATTTTTAATAGTTTGATGTATTTAGTCAAAGCACATGCAAGTAATTTTGACTTTGACAATTCACTATATCATTTATGTAATGTGTATAGTTTTTTATGTGTTTTCATGGAGCACTTACACATTTTTCAGTGCATTTTCAAAGTACAATTGCACACTTTTTAATACACTTGTATGATTTTCGATATGTTTACACGATGCACTTACACACTTTTCAGTGCATTTGCATTGTACACTCACATATTTTAATTTTTTAAATTTTCATTTTTTAAAAAATTGATTTAAATATCAATATTTTTAAAAATTTTACTTAAATATTAATTTAAATTAAATTTTAAATGTTAAAAATGTTTATTTATTTTTTTATTTTAATCCCATATCAATTCATTTGCCAATTTATCACTCGTGTGTGTCGATGAGTTTTCTTTATTAGATTTAATTGAGAATTTAACTTTTAACAAGGCACAATGGAGAACAAGGATTCATGTAGCCGACCCCACAAGTGGGATAAAGGCTTGATGTTGTTGTTATTGTGTGTGTCGAATTTAGTCCTCATTTTGCATGTGTTGGTGGATTTTTTTTCATTTCTCTCGTGCGGGAACATAAGCAGTATAAGTGTTATTTCCTCATAATTTTGATGTTCTAGAGCAATGGCATGGAGTAAATAGATGATGCTTAAGTGATTTCACACAATGTTGTGTCCATAATTCATCATTTTCGACTTCATTCGCTATAATCAAAATTGAGTTCTTTCTTGGTAATTTTGACATTTTAAATGCAACAGGACGATCCATTTTGCAAATAGATGATGTTCAAATGATTTTGACCATGATCAAGAAGTTTTGATACTTCTTTATCAAACATAGCATTTGTTATTCACCATTTTTATCAAGATTGTTCAGGTCAATCGTAAAGCGCATATGCAGGTCAACAATGCTTTAAAGTGTCACTAAATACGATGCATGCCTCTTCGAAAACAATATAATTGAGTCAATATTAAATGATTGTGCAAATGAAATGAATACAAAATATGCCATAAGCAAAAGATGTATAGTTCTAAATAAATAACATATTTCTTTAATGTTTACATGGGCACTTAAAAAAGGGCATACTAAATGCATAGAGCTTCCGCCAATGCAGGTTTTAAGGAGAAGGTAATACACGCAACCTTACCACTGAAATTTCAGATAGATTAATTCGATGACTCGATCCTGGTATTTCTAGGTGACAATGGATGCCTTTTACTGCTACTCCAAAAAAGCCCTCCCGTTTACATACCTTGGCTAGCTTAAATGGCATATAGAAACTTCCACCATGTCTAATTGCAATGGCTTCTATGCATCTAGCATGATACATGTTATTTCTGTGAGGACTAGGCATGCTAAACAAATCACCATTTATCATCCATGACTACAGAGGATTCACTTAACAACAAACATGGCCGAGAGCAATGGAATCAACATTCCATGAATGGTTTTAAAGCCTTCTAATACTAGCTTCTTGCATTTAACAAATATGTTCTGTCATGAAATTGTAATTCAAAACTGTGCAGACCATCTGCCAGGCCAAGCGCTTCAAAACTGTACAGACTATCAGCTAGGCTAAGAACTTGTCAATGCAACAGGACCACATAGTAAACCCATATATCTAAGTTAAGAAAATCGCTATTTATGCATAATGGAGAAACAGAAACGTTGATAATGATAACAAACACAAGTTTAAGATTAGTTTCTTCATCTACAATTACATACTTGGGTTATGGTTTTCAAAATGTTTTCATGAACTGGGTATGGGTATTAACTTCAAAGATTAAAATCACAAAAACAGAAATGATGTGAACTGCAATTTGCAATGAAATGATGATGGCAAAGGTTAGGAAATCAACACAATAGAGTTAAGCTGTAGAATAATGCTAAGAAATATATAATAGAAGCCAAATTCATCAATCATAGCTAATTTTTCAATCTGAATCTGATGAAATCTTAATGTAAGATGATGATTTATTGAGCTGTACACATATAGGACAAGGAGACATAAGCATGTGATGAAAAAAGAAGAGAATAAATTTAACTGTCCAACGACTTTAAATCTACCACTGTTTTAAGAAAGTTACTTGGCACGTGGCGATTGAAGCAGAAAAAATGCTATAATAATCACATTTTCAAAAAAAAGAGTAGATATGTCACTTTAGACTCCTCAATCAAAGCTCTACGACAATAGAGGAAGTCATGCACAATTTACAGCATACTCTTACTGTGCTACAAAGTCATGTAAGTACCAAAAAGATCTATAACCGTACCTAGGAGAATGTATTTTTAAAATAAATTGATATAGGTTGAAAGAAGACACCTTTAACCAACAAAGATGAGGAAATTCATTCAATCCGTAGTTAGTTAAGGAACAACCAGTTCGTTAAAGAGGTTGAAACCAACTAATGAAGCAGAAAGTGCTACAAAGTCTCGTGTTCCCTACACTCGCCTCATTCTGCAGTTTTTCTTATCCCCCTATTGTCTTCCTTAGTCTACCTGAGAGTCACTTAAAGGCCATCAATGAAGCATCTTCCCTGAGTTAACCTAATATGTCAGGGTAAGGTCCAAGTAGCTTGACCAATTGGAAACGTTAACCAAAATTAGCTTAACCAATTGTTTGGGTCAGCCGGTAATGTTCAACAGAGATTGAATTGAATCAAGTAGCCTAATCTTTGTCAACTAACCCAATGTTTGGAGATTCTCCTAGAATAATTGCATACTTTAATATGCTTTTCATCTTTTCTAGCAAAGTTTGATCTAACTCCTTATATCATTTAAATTAAGAGGCCAAACTGAAAAAGAAAAAATCAAATCAAATAAAAAATTGTTGAATCGTTTGGTTTAGATTTTGATTTTAAGTTCAGCACACGTATAATTCACAAACCTGTAACAAATAGTCAACCAGGACATTTCTTAAGAAAATAATGCAAGTTTCCTAAATAAAATATGCAATTAAAGGATCAAGATGGTATGAAACAATAACTTATACCAGGTGAAGACTTCTTCTCATGTTCGCTGTTATTGCTCATCATTCTTTTTGTAAGCTTTTATCATGTAGTCGAGCCTATCATCACCTAAAATTCAGGACCACAGATAAGCATAGCTGAAAAAATTGAAGGCATGAGAACTTCAACCATTACTCATTAATAGTTCAATATAATAAGATCGAATTCAGACGAAAAAGTAAAATTCTAGAGTAAATTCATATAAAGTAATTATAACTCTCCAGGATGGTTAGCAGGCGAGTCAAGAACAAAAAATGCAAGAATTAACCAAAGTTGCCTGACTTCTTATTGAAGCGGTAGAAAATGTTTTAAAAATAATGACTTAGGCTTCGTTTGGGAAGGCTTTCCACTGCTTCTTAAAGCAGTTTTTTAGTAAAAAATTAAATTTTTGTACTAAAAAATATTTTAATAAGCAGTAGGAAAGCCATCCCAAACCAAGCCTTAGTTTTCATTCAAATTTGTCTGTGAAAATGAAATCATGACTTTGAAAATTTATATTATTAGGTATTTTTAGAGTTTAAAACCATTAATGATTTCTAACATTCAACCAAATGATGGAATCTAATAAATTCACTGCATTTCAAAAAATGTTTTCAAACTTTAAGCAAACAAATGAGCTCTGAAACGTAAAATTTAACAACTTTTCGAAATTAAAACCAAAAAGAGACATTAGCAAGATGCCCCCTGAAAAGAAATCATGAAAATTGTACAAATGTACGCAAATAAGCATATAAAGACGACAACCTCCAGGCTCCAGCAAATAATTATTAATAGAACATAGAAAGTTTGAAACCAACTAATGAAGCAGAAAGTTACAAAAATAATTATAATAATAAATAAACAGCGATCAAGCATGGATCTACGTAAAACCCCTACTGAAAATCCATGAAGAAGTACTGAAAAAGATCGGATCTTGGAGATGTCTACATTTATTGTGATCTTTGTAAAAATTATGAAACAATTGTAATTAGTCTGAGAACAAAGTGACAGCAATAGCTCGAGATAACATTCGATATTTACCTGCAATCAAACGCACCAAACTCAAAGTGAAATTTTCTTCAGCCAAACAGCTTCAGCGAGCCCAGCGCAATGTTGTCGAATATCTAGTTTAATGGATGCAGATTCAGATTGCAGAGTGGGAGCAAATTGGGCGAAATGGCTGATAAATTATCGCAGAGGTTTCGCCGCTCGGCTCGTGGATACTTTAGAATTCGGATCGATCGATTCAATTCCTTTCTCTCATTCTTTGTTCTTCCAAGTCTTCCATCCACTACCACGTGTCTCTGACTCTTGCTACAGAGCAGCAGAGGCTTTAACATTCGAAGAAGGGATTCGGAAATGGACGATGATACATTAGGGTAGCACGTCGCACATGAGGTTAATTTATTTTGGGTGGATTTTGTGAGAGCGATAGATAATTGAGAGATTTAAATGTATATCATAAATATTTTATAAATTTGTATAATATTTAAAATTTTAAATTATATCAAAATATATTTTTAATGTTAATTTATTTAAAATTAAACAAATATATGAACGTGCATATTTTAATATGATGTAGATATAAAAATGATATATAAATTAAATATTATTTATGTAAAATACATTAAAAAAAATTTCGATATGTATGCAAATCCTCCATTATCCGAGCGGCTCATGCTCGAACTCTACTCGTGAGCTCAATAAGCTTTGCTCGCAGCTCATAAACGAGTCAAGCTCGAGCCTGCTCAGCTCACTTACACCCCTTGATGTAGTACCTAAAGCTATACCGGCAGCACACTATACCGGTTCCCTAACTGCCAGATACGCCTCCCACTACCTCACTCTCTTACATGCTATTTTAGTACCTGATGCAATAGTTTGTTTTTATTTATGCGTTTTCTTTTATAGCATTTTCAATTTAATAGAAGAAATACATATAGGAAAAGGAGGACCAAAACTTGTAGACAATTTTCATACTACACTTATCAATACTACAGTTCCTGGAGCATACAGCTCCTTCCCTGTTATTGTGCTTGTGCTTGCGATTTTTTCCTCCAGCTCTACGTAGATCCTTCGGTGCTATCACCCCTACTTACAAAATTGTTTAAAAAAGTAAAGATGTAGAAAGAGCGAGTGTGCAAGGGAGCGAGAGTGAGAGAAAGAGAGGCAGAATAAGAGAAAAATATTATGATTCTATTGCTTGAAAGTAAATAAGTTGAGAAAAATACTTTAGTGTGCCCTTAGATTTATCCTCTTGCTTCCTATTTATATGTAGTAGTATAGGCAATAAAATATAAAATAAATTATATTAAAAGGTAAATAGATAAATAACATAATATAACATAATAGAATTTTTCTCCGCAACGAGGACAAATAATAATTACATCTCATTAATTACATTACATGTGCATTAGAGTTTTTTCATATATAAGATGATTTAGGGATTAGGACTTAGAGTTTGGGGGATATAAATACAACATAATACAAAACATATTTCTGATATTCAAATATGTATGTGGAACTTAGTTGTATCTTACTAATAAGATTGTCTTAGAAGAGCAAGAGCTAAATAGAATGTTAAGGAAAAAAGAATGAGGAGAGAAGCTAAGTTATGCAGCAAAGGTGGCTTCTTCTGGCCATTGTTAGGGCTGACAAAATGGTTTCCAATGAGTTCATCGCATCAAGTTCCCTTGAACTCAGCCCAAGCCATTTTGGGTATATGCTAATTATTATTGAAAATATATAACACTACCAAGAATATGGTACCAACATTGATACTTTTCGAAGAAATTGCATCCAATAAAGCACGAGTTTCAATGCAAATATTTGAATAAAATTTTTAAGAATAAATTATGGGACCATTCGAATTCGGATTTTAATAAATTTATAGTCAAAATGAACTTTTTTGATAAGAAAAATCAAAATACGTAAAATTAAGTGCATTGATATATTTAAGTCTTAGACCAAAAATAAAATAGTTGAAAGAATAGCAAAAGACTTTATAAGTTTGTTGGAGGTACTAAATAATCTCTAAATCTTGCATGCTTATGCATTCAGAAATGAGCATCTCGATGGGATAAATTTGATTAACTTAAGATCAATAAATTTTATTATTGCTAAGGTATTATGATGCCTAAAGAACATTGTATGATCGAGAAGATCAACATGGTGTTCAATAAAAGTATTTGAGGATTTTAACAAAATTAATCAAAATGTCACCCTAACATATATGCATTCTACATATGAAGAATACATGGAGCCAAAGATTAAAGCTTGTAAGTTGGAAAAATCCTATAACTTTACTCAACGATCGGCATCGAATATCACTTCCAACAACCATTGCCATCTAATCAATTAATGTCGCCTGATCATCATCGCTTGACTGGCACGTCGCAATCACCATCACCTTATGGAAACAAATATAAACATCCATCATTATCTAACTATAGTTCTCCCAACGCTAACATTTTGTTGTTGCCCAACAACCTTCTCCTAATTGTCATCATCTGCCACCAATCAACATTGACAACTATCATCAATTAACACCTTTACTATCCATCAAGCAAAAATGACATTCATCATATCTCCTTAATTTATCAACCTTTACACTGCTCTGATTGGGGGTTGTTAGAAATCTAAATATTAATCTCACCTTCTCTAGAATGTGAGAATGTTGAACATTTATAACATTAACTGTGAGATCCTTCCCTTGTGGAAGAAGCACTTCCACCGGATCTTGAGGGAGGAGGAGGAGGGAGAGAGGAAGAGAGAGAGCCAAATGCACAGCAAACTTTTATTTCTCTTCTTGGCCACTTTCCTAATACAAACTAAAGTCTATTTATATAGGCAAACAAGCTACACAACTAACTATACTAATAGCTATATATGCCATGCAAGAAACCTAAACAACCTAAATCTAGGAACAAATACCCAACATTAACAATATATTGAATTAAAAAAAAAATATCATGCAACTTAGTTTTTCCAAGTGATCAACTTAATTTGAGTCATTGTAGGTTAATCATAAGCTTTACTCCCTTCAATGTAGTTTTCACCACTTTGCCTTGGTAGTGAAGAGAGGTTGTCAGGAGTAGGTAGTGATGAAACCAGCTGTAGTGTGCGAAGAAGAAGAGTTCAGAACGACACTCATGCCAAAAGCATCAGCGAGATTGGTTTTGAAGTATGATAGTAGTTTGTGATGGCAGACATCAGGGAAGGCATCAGTGGAACCAACTGCATGTGAAGAGAGCTTGCTGCGATGAAGCATCAATGGATTGATAACATGCAAAGGAAAAGAGAGTTTGTGATGGAGCTCACTGCGACTAAGGTCTTATGTTTACGACAGTTTTTTTCTGCTTCTTAAAGCAATTTTTTAGTACCAAAAAATTTTAATTTTTTATTAAAAAGCTCTTTTAAGAATCTGAAAAAAGTCGTTCCAAACGAAGCTTAAATGTGAAGGGAAGACAGCAGGTTTGAACCTTGATTTAACAGAGATAATATTGTTTAATTTGATAGTGCAATAATTCAAAATGTTTGAAAAACATAAGACACCAGCACAAATTTAGTGTTGATTGATGCTATTCATTTGAAAGGCCAGACAACATCACAAAATCATGGAGGGCTTACAAGATTATGCGATCAGTCTGTTTTACAGTAAATTTTTTATGACTTTTCCTCCATTATTTCGAAGAGAAAAAGAAAAACACAGTAACTATAAATTAATTATAGCAAAAAATTATCAAATATTCACATTGAGACTTTCTTTCTCCCAAATTTCTTCATAAAGAAGGTCTCGTTTCTACTCTGAATTTGCCCGAAATTTTCTATCGTCACTCTTCCGAACCACCGAAAAGTTTCTTACATGCAATATATATATATATATATATATCACTATGATTATCTCGTCCAGTTAAATCCAAGCCAAGTTAAGAGAACAATTTATATCTCAAGCACTCTCCCACCATGAAAGCTTTAACACTCCAGCTAGCATCACCTTCCTTGCATCATCAACTCTCCTACAGCTAGAGTTTCTTTAGAGATTTCAAGTTCTAAAAAAGGCCGAGATATAAATCATCAAATTTACTTCATATGCTTAAGAGATTTCAAGCTGAAAAAAGGCCAAGAAAATCATTAAATTTTCATCATCCCTTCTTCCAAAGAACTGTTTGAGAGATTTCAAGTAGAAGAAAAGGCCAAAGAAATAATCAAATTTACGTTATCGCGTCTTCTACGTACTTAATCGCTTGAGAGATTTGAAGTTGAAAAAAGCCAAAGAAAAATCATCAAATTTACATATCTTCACCTTCAAAGGTTTCAAATCCAAGAACACTCAAGAATCAAGATATTTCAAGTCGAAGAACAATCCAACCAACAGAAATCATCAAATTTTTTATCTCAGTTTCTTTGAAATAAATATAATACAACTTGTAATGGATTGATATAAACTTTCTTCAAATCAAAGGGCAGACTTGCATCTACAAATTCAGAACTCCAGCACAGTATAACTTTCCTCCAAACTGATCACTTGCACACAGACTACGGCTTCGTTTGGGACCCCTTTCTTTTTGCTTCTTAAAGCAGCTCCTTGGTATAAAAATTAATTTTTTTTATTAAAAAGCTGATTTAAGAAGTTAAAAAAGGCCGTCCCAAAGAAAGCCTACTAATACTCCAGTTCTGCTTTCTTAAGAAAGATACGTACCGCAGACTCCTACACCCGCCTGACAACCACCACATCCACAGCCTTTGCCACCAACGAACTTCGGCCCAGTTGTTTTCGACCGTCGATATATTTCATCGTCGCCGTCGAACGAGGCAAAGATGATTATCGAGACGACCAGGAGCCATATAATGACCACGTAGAACATGAGTTCGCCGGAATCAATGGAGGCCTCCATCTGCATAGCCATGTTACAGAACTGTACTGCTTTGTCTTCCTTCTTTGCTTTCTTCCTTTGTATATAGAACAGTACAGATATATACAGAACTCGAACATGCAAGTTGATCATGTAATGGTTTTCTGTAGTTTGTTTTTTTTTTCTTCTATTGCGCGTGATTGAGCTTGACTTCTTTGACTATGCGGCCGTGTTTGATGGGTTTAAGCCATTAAAAATGTTGAAAGATTGACTGAGTTTAGTTATTAAAGAAGGCTGAGGTTGAGCTTTTGAAATTGTAGCTGGTTTTCTAGTTTAAAATTATGTGATTAGAACAGATATGCAATTGAATAATTCAAATTAATCGCATTAATTTGTTGACTAATTTGCTTGATAATTTAATAGTGACGTTGAAATATTTTGATTGGGTGGTTGGAGAGTTTTACCTCTCCTCCATTATATTAAACTCGGACGACATACTACTTAACTATAATATTATATTTTTTATGTTCATCATGTCCCTAAATAGTTACTATATATATTTTC